AAAGCCAGAATGTGTTTGACAAACTCGGTGTAGTTGATGTGCCCATTGGCGTCCTCCTGTCCCGCCATCAGACGATCCACCTCGTCCTCAGTCATCCTCTCTCCCAGCGTGGCGAGGACGTGGCGGAGCTCCGCCCCCATCACCGTGCCGTTTCCCTCCTTGTCAAAGACCCTCAGCCCCTCCACAAAGTCCTCAAAGTTGCCCTGCTCTTTGGAGCGGGCCACATGCTGCTGCATGGGCAGGAAGCTGTCAAAGTCCAGCAGCTTGACGTTCAGCTCCTCCGCCTTCGGCCTCCCCAGCAGTTTCAGCACTTCCTCGTTGGTGGGGTTGTGTCCCAGCGCCCGCATAACATCGCCGCACTGAGCGTAGGTGATCTTCATCTCGCCGGCTGGCGTCTCGTCGAACAGAGCGAAGGCGTCTTTGAACTCCTCGATCTGGTCGGGGCTGAACTCCACCACGATGCTCTTCAGGTCCACCTCGGGGGGTTTTGGCTCCGGCTCCGCGGGCTTTGCTGGAGGAGGAGGCTCCTCCTTCTTTGCCTCCACCTTCTTCACCTCTGTCTTTTTCGGTTCCACTTTCTTTGGCGGCATGTTGCTGCAGAGCACTGGCGGTGGAGATGGAAAGTGACTGTCTGGTGTTTTATAGGAGCCAGCGGTGGGCTGAGCGAGGCAGGAGCAAATGGCAGGGAGGAGAGAGGAGGCGACCAAAGATGGAAGAAACCTGGAATGGAAACATTGAGAGGAGATAAGAGGCTGCAGATAAGAAACTTCCAGAAGCAGCAGAGCCGGTCTGAACCGGAGCCTCTGACCTCTCCTCAGGCCTCCATCAGTGAAAACCGCCTCCTCCTTCACATACTCTGGGATCTTTTCTGTTTCCTGCTAATCAATAGTTTTTAGCGCAGTTTCACAGCGCGGCTATCCTCTGCATCAATCTGTGAAGTAATCTCTGCATACCAGGCCCTTAATTTTAAATTACATTCTGGATTTATCTGCAAAGAGAAGCCAATCTAGGAGAAATCTGCTCTCTCTGTCTGCCTTGAGATTTGAACGCAAATGGAAGAACGCAGTCTTACATATTTGTTTAATATGTGCATTGAAGGACATGTCTGGTCAAAAATGACTCCAAGGTTCCTCACAGTGATACTGGAGGCCAAGGTAATGCCATCCAGAGTAAGAATCTGGTTAATACCATATTTCTAAGATTTTCAGGGCCGAGTACAATAACCTCAGTTTGATCTGAATTAAGAAGCAGAAAGTTAGCGGCCTCAGGTCTTATGTCTTTAAGACATTCCTGCACTTTAACTATTGGTGTGTGTTATCTGGCTTCATGGACAGATAGAGCTGGTGTCATCTGCATAGCAGTGTAAATGTATGCTATGTCTTCTAATGATGCTGCCTAAATCAGGGGCATCAAACATGAATGAGCTGAGAGCCACTGCTGTCGTCTCATTGGAGCCACTTTAGTGTTCAAGTACAAAACAAGAAAACAGACACAAATATTTCTGAAAATGTTTTGTTTGTTTTTTTACATTTCAAATCTTGTATAAGACGACTGTGCCTGTTCAACTTACCTCCATCATTAACCTCAGTGCGCAGTACCTGTGATACCTGCAGCTGCTTTAATCGCTCTAATAAGATTTTATGGTCGACAGTATCGAACGCTGCACTGAGGTCTAGCAGGATGACCTGTGACAGGTATAATTTCAGGTGAATCAGCTACACAAACATCACTGTGCTTCATAACAGGAGCAGGGAGTGCTGCAATACTGAGTGAGCACCATCACCACGTGAGAGCGCCACCTAGACAGACACTGAGGAGGAACCAGTTCTCTACATCAGGTTAAACACAGGCTGTAACACCACCTCCCCTCCGTTTTTATCTGCGGCCCTTTCAGTTCAGTTTATTTGTGTCTCGTTATCTCTGAGGTGATGTGGCCTCATGTGTCATTAACATTCCAGCTGTGATAAGAGGCGATGTCCCATGATGCTCTCTGTGTCCTTCAGTCTGGAAATAACTGCGCAGCTGCAGCTCGGCTTCATCTTTCACGCTAAGCTGATCACAGAGGTTTAAAATCCATGAATGAAGCAGATCTTTGATCACAGCAGCACAAACAACGTTGTGTTTTCAAACTATAACTTTAATCTCCAAACACTTTAATGAAACATCCACCAATGAGACATGTAGGATACAGTCATGTGACACACAGCAGGAACCCAGAAGTTCAATGTGATTCACGATCCATGAACATATTGATTCACAGATGAGACATTAAAGAAGGTGGAGTCAGCGCTGCTTCAGTCTGCGACACCATCAGCATCTGACACAGATATCAATCAATCAATGAATTACTGATCAATACTGTCCTCACAGAGATTATTATCAATAAGTATCATTAACCACCTGGTGGATCTTTGAGAAGCCATCTCTCTCTGATGGCTGAGCTCAATAAAAACCCTAAAAATCATACATTTCACAGCGGTGCTCATTGGAGCAAAGCAGC